GGGAATGGTCCCTGACCCCTCCCGTCCCATCCCCGGGAGCGGCCCCTGACGGTCCCCGTTCCCTCCCGCAGGCCGGGACTGCCTGGGCTGCGCCAAGACGGGCAGCGGGAAGACGGCGGCCTTTGTGCTGCCCGTGCTGCAGGCGCTCTCCGAGGACCCCTACGGCATCTTCTGCCTCGTGCTGACCCCCACCAGGTACCGAGGGACCCCCGCGGCGGGCGGAGCTGCCCCTGCCGCCGGGAACCGGCCCCTCTGAGCCGCCCCTCCCTCCCTCCCTCCGCAGGGAACTCGCGCAGCAGATCGCGGAGCAGTTCCGAGTGCTGGGGAAGCCCCTGGGCCTCAAGGACTGTGTGGTGGTGGGCGGTCTCGGTGAGCAATATATACAATATGTTGTTTTATAATACATAATGCTTTATATTATTTATATTGTTATATTTTTATGCATATATACGATATATACATATATACTATATGCAATATATACAGTATGTTGTTATGTAATACACAATGTTTTATTTATATTATTATATTTTTATATGTATATACAGTATATACATACATATTATGCGCAATATGTTGTTATATAATACATAATGTTTTATATTTATAGTATTATATTTTCTGTGCATGTATACTGCATATATATAGTATATGGAATATATACAATATGTTGATAAATAATATACAATGTTTTATATTATTTATAGTGTTATATTTTCTGTGCATCTATGCTACATATATATAGTATATGGAATATATACAATATGTTGATATATAATATACAATGTTTTATTTATATTATTATATTTTTATACATATATGCAATATATACATATACACTATATGCAACATACAGAATACGTTGATATATAATATATACTGTTTTATATTATTTATAGTATTATATTTTCTATGCATATATACTATATATACTATATGCAATATATGCAATATGTTGATATATAATATAGAATGTTTTGTTTATATTATTATATTTTTATACATATATACTATATGCAACATACAGAATACATTGATATATAATATATATTGCTTTATATCATTTATAGTATATTTTCTATGCATATATACTATATATGTAGTATATGAAATATATACAATATGTTGATATATAATACACAATGTTTTATATTATTTGCATTATTATATTTTTATATATAATATACGCAATACATACATGTACAATATGCATACTGTCTATACAATATGCAAACACCCCTGTCCTGTTCCTCACACAGACATGGTGGCCCAGGCCCTGGAGTTGGCCAGGAAGCCCCACGTGGTGGTGGCCACCCCGGGCCGCTTGGCCGATCACCTGCGCAGCTCCAGCACCTTCAGCCTCAAAAAGCTCAGATTCCTGGTAAGGCCCTGTGCTGGTTTAAAGGGAAACCCAGCTGGGGAAATGAACTCAACTCAAAGGAGAGATTATAAATCAGAATAACAATTTCGTAAAATAATCCAATAAATACGATTATACAGACAAACGGTTGGTTTTAACCCACAAACCCCAAATGTATAACCCGGCACCCTGGGGCAGGAACAGAGTGGTGTTTGTTGGGCCCCCTGAGTCCAAAGGAAAAGGAGAGGGGGAAAAACCTGTTGGTGAGAGGGCTGGTGCAGTCTGGTCAAGAGTGGTGGTCTCAGTCTGGTTAAGAGTGGTGGTCTCAGTCTGGTTGAGAGTGGTGCTGTACAGTCTTCCTCTGGATCCCACGAGTGGTTAAAAAAGTCCCAAGATTCCAAGATTATATATTCTCCAGTTCAGGCAGGAATGCCCAGTCCCTCCCTCAGGGCAGGGAGTTCCACACTGGATGTGAGGACAGGAGCACCCTCCTGTCTCACAGACCTCTTAACACCCAGTTTACAGCCTGAGGGGTCAGGGCTGCTCTGGGCAGAGGGTGTCAATGCTCTATTGATAACAGTTTCTGGGCAATGGCATGGAAGGCTCTAGAATACACAGTTTTGGGTTACACCCATCCAGTGATGAACTGCTCCCAGCTGTTCTAACTAGGACAGGCCCTTTCCCGAGGGTTTTTTTTTTTGGGGGGGATGCCCCATGGGTGTTCCCAGCACTGGGGGGGATCTGTTCCCAGGTGCTGGATGAGGCCGACAGGCTGCTGGAGCAGGGCTGTGCCGACTTCACCGCCGACCTGGAGCTCATCCTGGAGCACGTCCCGGCGCGGCGCCAGACCCTGCTGTTCAGTGCCACCCTCACTGCCACCCTCA